AAACTAGACACAATCAACTCAGGATTGAATAAGGACTGGGAATGGCTGAGCCATTACAAACATTGAATCTATCTCCCCATTCTATATGCATCCGAAGAAGTGGGCTGTAGTCCACGAAAGCTTATGCTCTAATAAATTTGTTAGTCTCTAAGGTGCCACAAGTATTCCTCCCATCTTGAAGGTGCATTTGGGTTGGTCTTGGCCATAAGGAGAGAGGCAGCTGAAACATTTTATATGAATCTAGGTGAAATATGAACCACTGCCATTCTGTGCTACAGTTCTAGTTTCACTGCTTCCACTGATCAAATGGCAGGTCCTCAAACTAGGTGCTTCTTCCTACTTTTTTCTTGTTCCTCTCTATCTTTTCTTTCCCTGTGCTTGAACCTCCTAAGGCTGGCTGATTCCTTCAACACTCTCTTTGTTGCTAGTTTGTGTAGCCATTACTGCTTCTGCCTGCAATGGCTCCCACAATGGTTCCTGTTCCCAACCACAAATTTGTTTCTATCGAGAGGTTCCAATTTAACAGGCCAGACTTCTGCAAATCAGGAAAGTTGTATCACCTTGACACCTCTCGAGCTTTCAGATAGTAAGAGTAAGGACAAAAAGCCTCAATATTCTCTGTTATTATAGGGTCAAGATAGCTCTCCAAGAAGCATACCCTAGTTTTGAAGAGGATGCTTCTACAGGAATACATGTTTACTCCACCTGATACATATCTTTATCGCCAGAGAAGTGATGTGGGATCTCATGATGAAATTTGTGGGCTAGTCATCTAAGCCTCCATACAGACTCTACAAAGTAAGCGTCTTTATATCTTCTGATATTACTTATTTCTGGTTGAGGGGTTCTGTGAACCACTGTCTTATCAACTGCACCCACAACCCTTCATTGGTACTGTTTACTACATCACAAAGGTAGCCTCCAGACTGGTGGCGATATAGGCCCAGGAAAATGGGGAATGTATCTGGTCTTGTATACCTACCAATCCAGAGGTTCCATGCTTTTGTGGAAAACATGCATATCTTCCTCATAGTCCAGTGTTATCATAATTTCTACTTTTAAAGAACCCATTGGAGCATGGTGGCAAGTGACTGACAGTGAATGGAATGTTTAGAATGGAGAAGCCAAATGTACAGATAGAATCATTCAACTGGAAGGGACCTTGAGAGGTTATTTAGTCCAGTCCCCTGTATTCATGACAGGATATTATCGAGACCATCCCTGACAGTTGTATGTCTAACTTGCTCTTAAAAATCTTCAATGATGGAGATTCCACAACCTCCCTGGGCTTTTATTCCAGTGCTTAGCCACCCTGACAGTTGGAAGTTTTTCCTAATGTCCAACCAAATCACCCTCGCTGCAATTTAAGCCAATGGGCTTAAGCTTCTTGTTCTATCTTCAGAGGTTAACAAGATAAATTTTTCTCCCTCCTACTTGTAACAACCTTTTATGTACTTGAAAACTGTTATGTCCCCTCTCAGTCTTCTCTTCTCCAGACTAAGCAAACTCAGTTTTCTGAATCTTCCTTCATAGGTGTTGTTTCCTAAACTTTTAATAATTTTTGTTGCTCTTCTCTGGACTTTCTCCAATTTGTCCACATCTTTTCTGAAGTGGGCACCCAGAACTAGACACAATACTCCAGTTGAGACTTAATCAGTATGAAGTAGAGTGAAATAATTACTTCTCATATCTTGCTTACAGTGCTCCTGCTAATACGGCCCAGAAGGATGTTTGCTTTTTTGGCTTGTGATCCATTATGACCCCTAGAAGCCTTTCTGCAGTACTCCTTCTTAGGCAGTCATTTCCCATTTTGTATGTATGCCACTGATTGTTCCTTCCTAAGTGGAGTACTTTGCATTTGTCCTTATTGAATTTCATCCTATTTACTTCAGACCATTTCTCCAGTTTCTCCAGATCATTTTGAATTTTAATCCTATCCTCCAAAGCACTTGCAACCCCTCCCAGTTTAGTATCGTCCACAAACTTTATAAGTATACTCTCTATGCTATTATCTAAATCATTAATGAAGTTATTGAACAGAACTGGACCCAGGACCGATTTCTGTGGGACCCCACTGGATATGCCCTTCCAGCTTGACTGGGAACCACTGATAACTACTCTCTGGGAATGGTTTCCCAACCGTTATGCAGCCACCCTATAGTAGCTCCATCTAGGTTGTATTTCCATAGTTTGTTTATGAGAAGGTCATGTGAGAGAGTATCAAAAGCCTTAGTAAAGTCAAGCTACACCACATCTACTGCTTCCCCCCATCCACAAGCTTATTATGCTGTCAAAGAAAGCTATTAGGTTGGTCTGAATGATTTGTTCTTGACAAATCCATGCTGTTAATTATATTATCTTCTAGGTGTTTGCAAATTGATTGCTTAATTATTTGCTGCATTATCTTTCCAGATACTGAAGTTAAGCTGACTGCTCTGTAATTCCCCAGGTTGTCCTTATTTCCCTTTTCATAGATTGGCACTATATTTGCACTTTTCCAGTCTTCTAGAATGTCTCCCGACTTCCATGCTAATGGCTCAGATATCTCCTTAATCAGCTCCTTGAGTATTCTAGGATGTATTTAATCAGGCCATAGTGACTTTAAGACATCTATCTTGTCTAAGTAATTTTTAACTTGTTCTTTCCCAATTTTAGCCTCTGATCTTACCCCATTTTCACTGGCATCCCCTATGGTAAATGTCCAATTTGCTACTAACATTTTTGGTGAAAAACTGGTGCCAAAAAGTCATTTTGCACTTCTGCCATTTCCATATTTTCTGTTATTGTTTTCCTCCCTTCATTTAGTAATGGGCCTACCTGTCCTTGGTCTTCCTCTTGCTTCTAATGTATTTGTAGAATGTTTTCTTGCTACCCTTTATGGCTCTAGCTAGCTTAATCTCGTTTTGTGCTTTGGCCTTTCTAATTTTCACCCTACATACTTGTGTTATTTGTTTATATTCATCCTTTGTAATTTGACCGAGTTTCCACCTTTTGTAGGACACTTTTTGAGTTTCAGATAATTGAAGATTTCCTGATTAAGCCAGAATGGTTTCTTGCCATACTTCCTGTCTTTCCTATGCAGTGGCATAGTCTGCTCTTGTGCCCTTAATAATGTCTTTGAAAAACTGCAAACTCTTGAATTCCCGCCCCCCTTGACTTGCTTCCGATTGGATCTTACCTACCAGCTCTCTGAGTTTGCTTAAATCAACCTTATTGAAATCCATTAGCTTTATTGTGCTGTTTTCCCTCCTGCCATTCCATAGAATCATGAACTCTGCCATTCCATGATCACTTTCACCTAAGTTGCCTTGCATTTTTAAATTCTCAACCAGTTCCTCCCTATTTGTTAAAATCAAATCTAAAAGTCTTTGCCCTAGTAGCTTTCTTCACCTTTTGAAAAAAAAATGGTCTCCAATACAATCCAATACATGTTGGATAATCTGTGCCCTGCTGTATTATTTCCCCAACAGACAGCTGGGTAATTGAAATCCCCCATCATCACCAAGTCCTGTGCTTGGAATGATTTTGTTAGTAGTTTTAAAAAAGCATCATCCACCTCTTCCTCCTAGTGAGGTGGTCTGTAGTAGACCCCTACCATGACATCACCTCTGTTTTTTACCCCTTTTATCCTTACCCAGAGATTTTCAACAAATCGGTCTTCTATTTCCATCTCAATCTCAGTCCAAGTGTATATATTTTTAAATATATAAGGTAAGGAAGAGCCTATTTCATTAGTGGGTTTAGTAATAAGCTACCTTTCCTCTAGGTCACCAGTTCAAAACTGACCCGAGACAGTGGAGACCAGGGTTGTTCAATAGTCTACATGAAATGAGGTGGGGGGTTTCAATTCATGTCTCAGCCAGGACTCCACATCACAACTGGTACTCAATAATATCCTTGTTGGCAGACTCAGGAGGATGGCTGAAAATTGAATGAGCAATGAGACCAAACTGTCCTCTCATGTCTAAAATGATTAGAGTATGTTGGTAGGGAAACATGGGGGAAATTTTGCAATATCAGTGGTGTGCCTGTTCCAGGGACAGAAAACGAAAATCCTTTTAGTTATTTGTCAAATCTAGCATTTGTTCTAAGAATTAAATTACATAAAATACGTATGTAGCACGCTATATTGTAGGCAAAGAATTGTCCATTACCTGTGTAATATTTCGTTCCATGAGCCGCTGCCTTTGGCTAATTTTTTTACCTCTTGTGGTCTTGTGACTTGATTTAACAGTCTTTATTATGGACACGTAACAGAAAACCATGATGGAGACAGGAATAAAGAAGCCAAATATAAAAACTCCAATCACGTAGGACTTATAGACAACAGAAAATGTTGCCTTGATCCAGTCTATTTCACATGTTCCATATTTGTTGTCTGAAAAAATTGAACATATTAAGTATGAACAAATCCCTTTATCTGAAACAATTATGAATTGTATTAACTGATGTGCACTTTACAAAGTCTTTAGAGAGGTTTATACAAGAAAAAGCTGTCTCATCACTTTTATAATTAGTACCTATTTAAAACAAAATTGATTCCCCATTTAAGATGTACAGAAAATGTTATTTTCTACTATTGACAAATTGCTTGCAAAACAAAATTCTCATTTACATGAAGGCTGTATTTACTCCACTCTAGCAGTGTAACGAGGCCTTAAAGTGGGCATAAATTAAGTTTAAATTACCAGAGTGTTCTAGACTTCTTGCAAATGAGATTCAGACACTTCTGTCTTTATATATAGATGTACAGAAATGTATATTAATTCCTTGTTTTTCCATTTATCAATCGCATTACTCAACTATCAAAGGAATGTGGCATGCAGGAAATAAAATAACTGTTGGTTTCAGTATTATCTAGGTTACTCACTCTCATCCTGTCCAGAAATATTCTGCAGAGTTGCACAGTGATTACTACGGTTTTTAATGGACACATATGCTGGATAAGATTTTTCTCCATATCGGTAATTCTGTAGAAATGAACACTCACCTGTATAGCTACCCCACCCTATAAGTGGTGCACTGGCCCAGAAAAGAGCAGCTGTCCATATCACAATCATGGTTAATATAATATTTTTTCTATCAGTTTTGTGAGCTGTAAATAAAAGATAAAGATAACAAATTTGATCTCCAAAATAGATTAACAAGAAAGATTGTTTGCAGCTACACCTGAATTTTAGAAGAGAAAATGTTAAAAAAAATTAATGTCGTAAGAAAATAAGTACATTAAATTGTCCAATCTAACAAATGTTAAGAGCTGAAGGAAATATTTCTTCACTTAATAAATTATATGAAAAAGAGCAGTTCCATTAATGAAATACTGTTACCTCCTTTTTTTTGTAAATACAGTAGTCCAGATCAACGTTCCCTCTAAGTTTACATCCATGTTTGGAATGAATTTTGTTATGTGCACCAATATGGAGGTAATGTGTGGCAGGGGTGGAGGTGAGGGGTTTGCAGTGTGGGCTCAGGGTTGGGGGGAGAGGTTTGGGATGTGTGTGTGTGTGTGGGGGGGGAGGGCTTTAGGGTTGGGCCCAGGATGAGGGGTTTGGGGTGCAGACTGCCCCAGGGCTGCAGCGGGGAGAGACGCTGTGACAGTTCTGGCAGGGCCAGGGGAGAGGCGCCTCTCCCCAGCGCGGTAGTTCCAGCAAGGGCTGGGGTCGGGGGAGAGGCACCTCTCTCTGCTGTGTGCCTGCGTGGCCCTTAATAGCCTGCTGTGCGGCCACACAGGCACTCAGTTTAGAGGGAACTTAGGTCCAGATTCCCATTTACACTGAAGTCCCTTTACACTGCTTTGACAGTATAAAGAGGGCTTAATGTGGGGGTAAATTTACAATACAGATATTTGTAAATGTTTTCTTTTCCTTTACAAATAAATAAATAAAAAGGAATTTTCTGACTGAATTTGCAAAGATTTACTTCTAAGTACTGTTGCCTGATCAGTAGTTTATGTATTAATTATATTGATTACTTAAGAATCCCCAGCTATCACTTTGAGGGTTGCGAGGTTCTTCCCCCAAGATCAGGGCCAGTATTATTCAAATTATTATATAGTTGGGAACCTTGATGTGCACAGTTGCAACACTCACACTATAGGAACTCTTTTATATTTACAAATGTAGTTTATTAATACATTTAGCACAAACACTCCAAGTAAGTAAGGTAGATAGAGATACTACAGAATGTACGTCTGCACACCCATATACTCACACCATCTCTTGTAGAACAACCTGAAATGTTAGTCGTCATCTTCCTCATCACCATCACCTTCCCCATCATCACCAATGGCCTTATTCTGGCACCTCCCAAGGCCTATATCTCTCTCTCCTTCCGCCCCTAGGCTGGGATGCTGCTTTTATAATGTAATCCTTCTGCCCCTCTGAGTTGGCAGCAACAAGGGCTGGGTTCAGTATCTAGGGGTTCCGTTTCAATAACGCAACGCAAAACCGGCTCGAGCCCCCACTCAGTGACCTGGGACAATTACATACCACCCCCCAGGCGCCTCTAGAAGGCAATACTTCCCCTCTTGCAAGCACAGAGACTGAGTGTAGCAAAAGTCTTTTAATAAAGGAGGGAAACAATGCGGCATCATGTTGGGGAAACACCACAAATAGGATTCATAACACAAACCATGAGCTAAAGACCCACCTCCAAGTAAGTTTGGCAGTGTCCTTTTCCCCTCAGGGTCTTAAGTCCAATCACCCCAAAGTCCAACAACCCAAAAGTCTCTGTCCCTGGTCAGTGCCGCCCCAGAGTTCAAAAGTTCATCTGCAGAGTTTTACCCAGCCTGGGTGGAAATGGGGGGGGGGCACACGGGGTGTTAAGGGGCACCTTACGTGGTCCAAGGCCGACTGCCCCGCCTCTCCGTGGAGTTCTGCTTCACCTTCAGCCTTCACCACGAACGGCTCAGCTCTACCAGCCGCTCCGCTCTGGTCCGGTCCTCCAGCCGTCCCGTGAGCCACTCCAGCCGCCCCGCAAACTACTCCGCTCTGCTCGCTGTTCCGTGGGACACTCCAACTGTCCCACAAACTGCTCCGCTCTGCCAGCTGCTCCACTCCACCAGTCTTCCCATGAACCGCTCCAGCTGTCCCCACAAACTGCTCTGCTCACTGTTCCGTGGGCCGCTCCAACCGTCCCACAAACTGCTCTGCCAGCCACTTAGCAATATATCTTCAGGCTCCCCCACTAGTTAACACAGCACTCAGTGATCTCAGCTCAGTAATTTTAGCTTTTAGTGATTTCAGCTTGTAGTAGGGGAGCCCCAGTGTTGGTGCACCATTGGCCCAAAGTAAATTCAGCTCAGCAGCCTCTAGCTAGAATCAAAATTGGCTCGGCTATTCAACAATGGAGAGAGAAGGTGGTGCCATTGGTGTTCCAGGCCCTCAAAAGGGGCCCATACCATCAGATACACACACATACCTATCCCCAAGCTCTCTCAATTCACTGGGTTTTGGAACCCATGTCCCTTGTCTAGCGAGTGCTACTTAGGTGATGGTGAGACCCTCTGTCATAAAACAGTTTCATTTTCCTTGAGTCACATAGATTCATAGATTCTAGGACTGGAAGGGACCTCAAGAGGTCATCGAGTCCAGTCCTGTAACAACACTTTATTCCTCCTGCCCCAATAAGAGAAACTGGGGATCCCACAGCTGTCAAAGTGACCATTTTGGGCTGCCGTGGGCTCATGCTAGGCGGGGTGGGTGTGCCTATGCAAACAAGATCAGCTCCTGAAGTTCTTTTCCACACTCACCATAATTCACCACCAGATGTCAGGGTAGAGCTCATCCTGACTCTGCTTACAATAATATGTTACACTAGTGCCGCTACGTTTGATGCATATTCAATAGGGGATTTCCTCCCATTCTTATTTGTATTTCCTCACCTTACTAATGTTGGAGTGTCTTTTTCCTATAGATTAATATATCAATGATCTCAACTTATTATCATATACATCAATTCGTTACCATGGCCCTTTTGTGATTAGATATCACATTTGTTATTTTTGTCCTAATTGGTTCTTTCCAAGTTTCAAGTTGTGGTGTACCTGTTAAGTTTAAAAGGGTATGAACTTAGGAAAGTCCCTATGCCAACCTGCTTTAACGCATCCTCTATGTTCACGGTTGCAGCCATACATGGCCCTTATGCTTTAACGCATTACCATCTATCTAAGTGGAAGGGCCCAAACATATGTATGCTAACTTTGCCCTAGCTCTGCATACAGGATGTGGCCTGCAGGTCCCCCCTTGTGTTACAGCCAAAATATACTCTAATATAAACCTATAAATCTATTATAATAAAACAAATAATTAAACCCATAAGAAAATAAGAAAGTTATAAGAAAAGATATCTAGGCAAGTAAGCAGGCTACCCTTAGATGTCTCATGTACCTGTGGTCAGAACTTCCCCTTAAACTCTATTTTCGGCTCCCCAAATATCTGGGGCTTTCTGTTGGGCTGTTTATCTGTGCAAAGTTTATCTGTTCAAAGTTCATAGGCCTCAAGCCTTATGTTAACTTGCTGAAGTTAATGTCTTACAGAATACAGGCTTGTAGGTTTCTTGCATTACTGCTGAATATAATGCAAAGCAGTAAATATAATAAGGCAAGCTTGCCCACTGGCTACAGTAGCAATGAATATGACAAAGGCAAACTAGCTCACTGGGCAACAGTACCTTTTCATATATTTAAACCTGGTGTACTTGTTAGGTGGTGAGATTGGCTGGTAGCAACCAGAGAATTTTAACTCATGCCAGCATGGCATTTAGGAGACATTTTCTGAGAACTTGCTTGACAAAAGAGTGAGTTGGCTTCATTTCCAGGTTTTATCAGTATCATTGACCACTTGGGGATCCTTTTCCTTTGAAAATGAAGGACACACTGGCTTTGTCATATATTGAATAGGAACCTTCTTGTGGTGGTGATGAGGAGGAACTCAGACTCCTAACCCTGGCAGGAAAGTATCAGAAAACTGCTTGACTATAATTGAGAGAATAAGTCCTCTTCTTCATTACCTCCTTTGGTAATGGATGATTATGTAATGTTCCTCCCTCACATCTTCCCCTAAAAACTTTACATCTTTCTCCTAGTTTTATGTCTCCACCTGGTCTCTTGTGCACTTTCCATAGTTTCCTTGGTAACCTTGTGTGACAGAGACACCTTAGCAATGCATCCTGTGTTCTTTCTGAACAGGTCTCACCTGAGACCTGACAAACACATTACACCAAACACAAATCTTGCAGGGTATTTATATGAAGGATATCATATGAGGTGTCTACAGAAAGCTCATTATTTGTCAAGACTCAAATCTTTTCAAGATGTGTGTATAGCTAACATCAAACGAATAATGGGTTTATATTGAAAGTACACTTTATGGACTTGGAGTAGAAATTCATGACCAGGAGTTGATGTGTGTAGGGCAGGGGTGGGCAAATTATGGCCCCGCGGGCTGGATCCGGCCCATCAACCATTAAAATCCGGCCCTTGAGCTCCTGCTGGGGAGCAGAGTCTGGGGCTTGCCCCGCTCCAGCGCTCCATCTGGAGAGCAGGGTCAGGGGCCACTCCACACAGCTCCCGGAAGCAGCAGCACAGCCCCCTCTTGCTCCTAGGCGTAGGGACAGTCAGGGGACTTTGCTCTGCACGTTGCCCCCACCCCAAGTGCCACCCCCGCAGCTCCTGTTGGCCGGGAACCACAGCCAATGGGAGCTGCAGGGACATTGCCTGTGGATGGGGCAGTGTGCAGAACCGCCTGGCTGCGCTTCCACGTAGGAGCCAAAGGGACATGCTGCTGCTTCCGGGAGCTGCTTGAGGTAAGTGCTGCCTGAAGCCTGCACCCCTGAGCCTCTCCCCACGCCCCAACCTCCTGCCCCAGCTCTGATCCCCCTTCTGCCCTCTGAACCCCTCAATCCTCCTACACCCCAAGTCCCTCATCCCCAGCCCCACCCCAGAGCCCACACTCCCAGCTGGAGCCCTCTCCCCTCCCCCTCGCACCACATGCCTCAGCCGCAGCCTGGAGCCCCCTCCCGCACCCTGAACTCCTCATTTCTGGCCCCACCTCAGAGCCCGCACCCCCAACCAGAGTTTTCACCCCCTCCCACACTCCAACCCCAATTTTGTGAGCATTCGTGGCCCGCCATATAATTTCTATTCCAAAATGTGGCCCTCAGGCCAAAACGTTTGCCCACCCCTGGCCTAGGGGATGGCCCATGTAAGCAAGAGAGAGTTGTCACTCCTCCCTAATCAGGTGGTGAGCCAATGCAAGACTCAACTGACAAGCTTTGCTCCCTCCCAAAACTATCAATGGAAAACCATCAAAGGCACTACCAAACAAATGAAGCCTCTTGGACGTGAAAAAGGAATGCTACAACAGACAGAGTTTTGCTCTGGCTTTAATTAAAAACTAAGGGCTGTTTTCACTATAGCACAGAGAAGCTCTCTGGACTCATCTTTTGGAGGTTTTATGAACCTTGTGGTGCTTTCGTGATGTTTGGGCCCTGGTTCTTGTTAAACCAGTCAGCTCTGCAAAAGACTGAGCTTTTTCAGGAAAGCCTACTTTATTACATAGATAAGGTAACTATTGATAAGTGTAGATCCAAGTTCACATTTTATGATTTTGTTTTGTGTTGTCATCAGTTGTTTCCATCTTTCTCTTATTTCTAGTTAAAGTTTTATTTTTTCTTAAAGAATCCTACATTTGTTTTATTGTAAGTGCTCACAAGTGCTGTGTAGTTTAGAGAAGTGGTAGCTAAAGATAAAACTGGGGTACACAGCAGCTTTGGATACATGGTAGCTGGAATTTCTGTGAGTAGCCAGTCTCAGGGTGTTGCCAGATGCATTGATTACTGGTATGTGTTGTTATATTGATTACTTTAAAACCCCAGTTAACACTTTGAGGTTCGATAGGTTCTTTTCCCAAGATCGGGCCCAGTATTATTTGAATTATATTGTAGGTGGAAGCCCCTATGTGTATGGCAATGGCCACAACACTCAAACTCAGGGAAGGCCTTTTGAAATTGTAAAATTTTTATAATTACTATAATTAGTCTTTAAGTAAAACAATCCAAACAAATAAGGTGAACTGATACAGGACTGTAATAATGCCCAGCACCATTACATAGGCAACTCTCTCTATCCTTGGGGAGGACTCGAAAGGGTAAGACAAATCTTAGTCTGAGTCAAGGATCAATTCCAATGGCCTAACCCATATAAGTGGATGTTTTATAGATCTTGATGTTCATCATGCATATACCTGAGAGGTTCCTCCCACTTTTACCACATCAGAACTTCCTCACCCTCATAATGTTGTGTTGTCTTATCCTATAGGTTAATATATTAATTAATTTAAGCTTATTAGCATACGTCAATTGGTTACTATGGTTACCTATGGTTGAACATCTGCTGATGTTTTTCCCTCTCAAAATACCCTAAAATGGTACTGACTGACTTCTTGCAGTTATCTGTCAGTAATTTATGCTTAGTTTCAACACTTTTGAATATTGCAAAACAATATCTTATGTCATTTTGTGACTTAAGGACACTGCTGGTTTACTTACTTATGCTAATTCTATTAAACAATTTACTTCTACCAGGGCTATTGGGCCTTGCTGTTATGCTAAGTGCTTAAGCTAATCTCTTATAGACCTGGTACTATAGGTTTCTTGTGTTTCTGTAATATTATTCCTATCTGTTACCATAACAGTATGTGGGCTACAGGGGCTGGATATCACAGGGGAATGATTCAAAGGGATTCAGGGATTGGGGTGTGTGATGAGATCCCCGGGGTGCAGTCTGGGACTGTGGCACTGCTGTGCCCCCCTGAACTCTCTCCAGCCTGGGCTGTATCTCACAATGTCTTGCTAGTGACCAGCAGCAAACCCCTCCAGGTGCTGTTATCACTCAGCATGACCACACGTGGAGCCCCTCACCCAGCTATATTGCATGAATGCTCCCAGAACCACTCATAAATCACACAGGGAAAGGCACCAGCCAGATCCCCCCAGTTCCCAGCACTGTACCCCAGGAATATACCGTCTTGCACTACTCAAGATGAGCACTGCAAATTTATTAATTGGTTCATCACTTCATCAGCGGAAAGTGGATATACACCAGCCTTTGTAAACCTGAGTAGATATGCTACACACTTCATACAAACTCACTGATAAAGATAAACAGTAAAACAAATTTATTGACTACAAAAGATAGATTTTAAGTGATTATAAGTGATAGGCAAAAAGTCAGAATTAGTTACTAAAATAAAATAAAATAAAATATAAGCACGCAGTCTAAACTCTCCACCCTATTCGACTGGCCAACATCTAGCTTAACTCTCCACCCCACTGGATATTGCAGTTCATAGTATGCAGATTTCACCCTTGAAACCTGGGCCAATCTCCTCTGCTTAAGTCTTCTCAGTATCCTTGTTGCTTGCAGCATGGGTGCGGGCAGGAGGAAGGTGAAGCATAGGTCTGCTCTGTTCTGATTTATACCCTCAGTTTCACATACTTGGGGAACACACAAGTCCAGGCATGCCTGGTGGGCATTACTGAATCTCCAGGCAAGGCTGAGCAATTCCCCTGGTTTGGCCTCATGCAGGTGCATCACTGAATTGTAGTTCTCTTGCTGGACAATGGCTCTTGATGGGCTGTTTGACACCCCACCCGGGCATTGGTTACTTTCCTTGCTATTGCCTCTGGGGAGCTAGTATCTGGCTGATTTCCCAACTTACAGCATGTTTTAGTGACAACCATACAACACAATTCTCAACTTCATATGCATTAATGATATAGGTATATGGATAGAAAAATGACTTTCCGCAGATCATAACCTTTCCCCCGATAACTCACATGGCCTGCTTTATATGCAAGATCACAATCATATTTAAATTAGGAACATGGGGGAGCACTCTGTAACCCCCAAGATACAGAATGTCACAGGGTGCACCTATTGTTAACCTGCAAGGTGAGGAAAGGGTGGAATTAGGCCAGAGGAGTATGCTTGAGTGGCTGAAGCACTGGCAGCATCAGAGAGCTGAGACCAGCTACCACAAGACAGACTCCCTTTTGCTAGAGGCAGGGAGTAACAAGGTGACTCTCAGTTCTGGGTACCCTGAGAACTATCACACTCTCCAAATTAGCCTGTACACTCTCAGGAACAGAGACTAGGGGGCCAGATTCTGATTTCACACGGCTATAAACTGCAATGAAATCAAAACAATTACTAACCCATGGTTTACACTAATGTCAATGGGATTAGAATCAAACCCCACATCTTATTCTGCATTTGTAAAACATCATGCACACGTAGAGTGCAATATAATTATGTACCCAAAAGGCCTATGTTTAAACTATGTTATGAAGGTTGTAATTTTCTAACTTTACAATGCTTGACTTTGCAACTCTAACAACATTTTTTTCAACATACAAAAAATACCAACAAAAAAAACCCAAAAACCAAAAACAAAACCCAGCCCGATATAATTTCCCAATTTCTAAAAAAGAACATTCTGCACTTGACATACCCGGTCATAGTACCTCTTCGTCCCAACCACAGATCAGCAGAATTTGAACTCTGGACATAGAAGCATTGCAATTCAGACCTCTACCACTTGAACTAAAGGACTATCTACAATAGATGGCAACAGGAATAGGCTATTATCCAATGTGGGCAAGCCACTAGGAGGACAACACAACACACAATGGGTTGAATGAGTAGTCCCATTTTACAGACACCAAGTATACTGTAGACTGTCTGATAAGCAATATGATATATTAGAGATATAATATGATATATGGGTTCTTTTTATTGACAGCTTGTGTAACCTTGCACTGGGGTAGGAGACCTTGCTCAATGAATAAGGATTCTGAAGGACACAAAATTAGTAACACTGGTCAGTAGAGGAGGTGAGTCAAGAACTCATGGTATGGTGACTCACAGCTCAGGGTTGTAAGAGTTGGAGAAATATTGTATGTGTCCCATCTGGAGATTCAGCTCAGGGGAGCAGCTTCAGGGAGACACTGGGGAGCATGCTCTGTACCACTGTGGGGAAGTGTGGTATAGGGAATGTTCAGCAGCAAGGCTACAATAAATTGTATTAAGCTTAGGTAAATAAAGATTTTAACAGCTTATAAATTGGCCAAATTTGAACAGATTTTCATATACACAGCAAGAAGTCTCTCTCTGACGCCAGAACTATCTCCCTGGCAAATTTTGGATTCCTGTTCCAAAACAGAGGCACAAGAGCTCTTCAAAGTGGTTTGAAATTTTTTTTTAAATGGGAAGTGTTAGGTCACCTTAATATATCAGTTGCTAACATAGGTCCTATAAAAAGTGTTTTTCGGGAGTGGGAGAATATTTAGATTTTCGTAAAAGAACAAAGCTTGGTATTGTATTCACGAGTGTACCCCTAATTATACTGGAAACGTGAGTTTTAGCAAGGTAAAAAAGACAATTGTTCATATATTTTCAATCTAATTCTTAGGCTTGATTTTAAAGATGTCAAGTATATAATATTGTCAACACGTTTAATACAATATACCTTTGAGGTAGTGATTCGATGTTTGGCAAAGAAAGCTGACATACCTTGGTGAGGCTGGCATCCTTTAATGTATCTGATGACACTGATGGCTGTCAGAGTATTAATACTGACTAGACCAAAAAAGAGTATTATAAATCCGTCCACCTGACAAGGAAAGGGTGGAGAGAAGGAGAAAAAAAATCCAAACTCAAAGGTAGAGAACACAGAAAAAACATGACATTTATTAATATTTAGTATGTTTCTACTAAGTATTTTGAAAGTTCTTTTTAATATTTATTCACACATTTGATTCTAGGCTAACTGTGTTTGATCTTGCATGCACAGAAACTGCTTACTTAAGGACAGCAATTGAAAACAATTGCTCCTGGATTTTTGCCCTGCCAAAAAAAAAGTAAGACTAAAACAAACCCAATTACTAAATAAAACATCAATGTCACAGGAATATTTACATTCTTCTGTTATTAAGTTAGGTTCTAAGTATTCAGAAAAAGATTAAGAATCTAGAAATGTAAATAATGCAGTTACCTTGCATGTCCATACTGAAGTGATTAGAAAGCCATCATCTCTAAGAACATTAAACAGCTCTAGAATGCCCCTTGAATAGCCAAAGAGGGAAATGCCTGCATCCGAGACAGCAAGATTGAAGGTGAGATAGTCCTGAGGGTCCAGGGAATGTCGTTGGTAGTACATGATGAAGATCACCCCTCCATTGCCAAGCCAAGAAAGCCAACCTATGCAATTAAAAGTCATTGCTGTAGGACAACTGGAGAACAATTTGAAAGAAAAATATTAATTGGTATTTTGCACTTCCTTTTTGCAGGAAAAACGGGTCATGCCATTGACTTGTCCCTTTCCTTAAGTTGTGGCATTGACTGACAGAGTTGGAGCTCCATACAGGATGATGGCTGTTATAGAAGAGGTTAGACAAATATATTGAGCAATAATGGGAGGACTTCCTAGAAGTATGACAAGATCAGGGAGAGCCTCAGGTGGTTGCAATTAGTTAAATTAAACTTTCATTGCAAATAATCTCCTAATTAATTCACAATTTGTGATGAGAATTCAAGAGACAAGTTGACTGAATATGGAGAGACTGGGATAATCTCCCTAAGACCCCGCTCCTGTCCGGAGTTTCCAATAGTGCACACATCTCACCAGTAATACGGTACATAACATACTTTCATAAGAGTATTTTTGAATGAAGCTGGAACTGATCTGAATAGTTTATATTACATTGGACAACTCATAAAACAGCCTGTTTTTCAGGTTCACGAACAAAATAGCAGTTGATCAGACCTTGCCCAGGAATTAAGGAACAAAAAAAATATTCGAAAACCGCCACTGTATTTCTGATTTCTGCCGTTATGGGGCAAAGAATTCACTGCTGCTAAAACAGCTCTTTTGCAACAATGAAACATTCAGAGAGGAGTTTCCAGTACTTAATGGGCTTTCCATAACCTGGAACTACCTGGAGACTCAGCAATGCAAAATACCCCGAATGGGCTTTCTACATATCTAACCTCAATGAAAGAATTGAAGCCACTTTGAATAGTTTATGAGGAATCTAGAAACAACACGAGAAGCCTTTCCATCAGGCTAAAACATCTAGAATGGACAGTCACAACCCCAAAATACAAAGAGAAAAGGGTTTCTAGAAGTTTGACCAAAATGAATTGGGCTTTTGAATACACAGAGCAGGTTTTTACACTCCAACCCAACCCAGAATTGCTATTGCACAACACCTGGAATGGACTTCCATTAGAATCTCAAAATATATTGTAACTTTGTGAGGTTGCTATTTATCTGAGAAAAGGGGGTCAACTTCTCAGCTCTTTGCAGTCCAGAAATAATGGGTAACCCCACGTGATTTCTGATGGCCCATATACCATATTCTGCCTTTGTCTGAAACTACTGGGGTTTTAGGAAGGGGATATTTTTAGTCTTGCCTCATTATCAGCTGGCAGTTAAATTCAACTTTTTAGGCATGTATTATGTATTTTTGCAGAAGATATTGGCTTCCATAAAATGGAAATTGTCTGTTTGTTGTTGCTTGCAAAATTTATTAAAGAGTAATGGCCAAAGTATGATTCTCTCAAACCTGATCAAGTGACTGTCAAAACTGTTCCAGTTTTGGACTTCAAAAATTAATTAACTTCTTTAGAGATCATGTCCCTGGCATTACTCTGTTTAAGGAAGACAGTGAAGCCATATTAATAGCCTCAACAAACCTTGGCGATGAAAACAGACTACAGTTAAAAAGTAAACACGGCTAGGCTAGGTAGAAGCAGCTCTAGGGAAACAGATTATATGCATAGAGAGTCCACAATCAAAAAAAGGGTCGGACAAAGTTAATTAAGATTCTAAAAGGCCTTCTAAAGGTTATTTTAAGTCCAGCTCAGTCATATTTGGCCTGGGGGAGGCATGATGGAAAATATGGCTTCACACATATTCCAGATGTGAAAATATTTATCTCGTGAGTTAGAAAATAAGCCTACAATTCCAATTCACTATTAGAGACCACGTGAAGTTAAAAAATAGAAGTAAACTAATTTGATAAAAAATATGTTTCTAAAGTCTATGAATAGATTTCTTCATTCAGTCTACGCAGGAAGGAGACAGGTTGTCTTGTGTATTATTCATAGTCTCAAAATCCTGTTAAATTTGCTGTGATTTTCACTCACTCCATGAATTAAAGTAGGTTTGTTTGCTATTTTATGAAACTGTTCATGCACGTAGCTATAATTTATTATGTATAATTGAAACAATGTAAAAACTACTTAGTTCAGTTTTAGTAGTAGGGCTTTCAGTATCAAAAATGTTTGATTCATATAAATAACAATAACAAAGATATTTCCTACTAACAGCATTGTAGGTTTGCGGTTTGTATTTTGGACAAAAAAGAGCAGATGTTTTTGATAATCTACTCAGATTGTTACAGATACAAATAATGTGGAACAATCCCAGGAGTTTGACAACTTCTAATTCTAAGGGAAGGAAAGAAATTTTGATTTTATCGTTGTGAATTTCTTAGGATGGTGTAGTACTATGCTATGAAGGGCGACTATGTAGAGAACTGGTCTTCACTTTTCATTTCCCACCCTACCCCAATTCCAGTTTCCATTTTACACTACTCATTTCATGTTTTAAAGCTAGACTCTTTCTGAAAGCTACCAATTTCTCATTTATTTTTAGCTGGATTTTTATAGTGATAAATTAACCTGAAATATCTTCAACAAAGTATAACAGCAGCAGCAGCAGCAGCAACAAAAAGTAAATAAACTATCAGTGTCAAGCTGTGAATTAGTCTTTGGATAACAAATATATAAGCATTATGGTAAGTAAAGTCCATTTCCTTTGATTTTAAATAACTGCAATTTCTAAACATATATAAGATCCAACTTTACCCTTGAAAAGGCACAGGTATACCGATTTCCCACAAACTCATGATGAGCCGACTGCACATCTCTCTTCAGAGCGAAGAACAGAAAATAAAATTTGAAACACAGCCTGAATTTGCTTTTTACTTACCTAGCGTGAGCAAGTAAACCCCAATAATGGTTTCCCAATCCTCTGAGACAGCAAACCCAGACTTGTTACTGTGCAATAAGCTGGAGCTGTCCATCAGCACCACTCCCTCACCTTCTGGAAAGTTCCGATTCAGAAAACACAGTAGTAGATGCAACTATTTCTCTCTCTCTCTTTTAAATAAGCATCTCACAGAACTTTTGACTCTTCTTTAGCAAGAGTAAGATTCTTACTTCTTTAGTAAGATAGCAGCAGCAACTATGTGGGAAGTGCTAAAGAGGAAGCTGAGCAAGGAGGTAAGACAGTGATCTACCATCTACTGAGCCTCAGCTGCCACTCAGCATCAGTATAATTAGCAGCATCAGAAGTGCTGAGCTACTTGGTTTAAAGTCTAAGGGTCTGATCCACACATGGCCCAAATCTGTCTTTCACATAAAGAGCTTTCTCTTAACCTCAATAGCCCTTAGAATGATGAAGGAGACAATCCTGCTAAAGGTTTCCCTGCATGATCCCTTGCATTCCTTTTCTACTACTGATCTCTTTTGGAGATGGGCCACTTAACAGCAACATGTAATATTCCAATGATGGTAGAAAGAACCAGTAAATGCTATAGAAATTTTCACAAAGAGATGCCCCAGTGAAATACAGTAGAATCTCAGTATTATGAACACGTGTTATGAACTGACCAGACCTTTGGAACTGGAAGTACACAATCAGGCTGCAGCAGACACTAAAAAACCCCCAAAAAGCAAATACAGTACAGTACTGTGTTAAATGTAAACTACTAAAAAAAATAAGGGAAAGTTAAAAAAGGATTTGACAAGGTAAGGAAACTATGTCTGTGCTTGTTTCATTTAAATTAAGATTGTTAAAAGCTGCATTTTTTGTCTCCATAGTAAAGATTGAAAGCTGTATTAAGTCAATGTTCAGTTGTAAACGTTTGAAAGAACCATAATATTTTGTTCAGAGTTGTGAACATTTCAGAGTAACGAACACCCTCCATTCCCGACGTGTTCGTAATTCTGAGACTCTACTGTACTTCGTTTTGATGCGGACACAAAATAGAAGGTGTGGAATGTATCAAAACATGAAAACCAAACGGTGTGTGTTGTGGAGGAACTATACATTTATTTAGAAATATATTAAAGCTTTAATCATAAAACTTATGCACTGCTCAAGTAGCAAATGACGAAGTACATACAGCAAAGCTTTAAGGCACCTCTAGATGCTTGGAAGATAGCAAATGAATTTTACTGAGTATTTGACAATGTGTCCCATGTCTAAAGATTTAAACATTCTCCCTTTTTGAAACTTTTTTTATTTTATTATTATTTTTTTTTACGAGGGAGAGAAACAAGTTAAGAAGAGAACAAATGACAAGATATTCCATATGGTTGATTTCTATTAATCCCAGAGAGCAACCAAAGAGAAATCAGAATTTGAAAGGTTGCATTGAGATGAAAAGGTATTAGAGCAGTGGATGTAATAAGTGGAACCACAACTATAATGCTTTACTAGTCACTGTACTGTGGGCAGGACTTTGCTAAAATTGAAGAGGTGTAGCAGAGGGTAATCAGACTCAATTCGGCCTGCAAAAAGGGGTAGTAATTATAAGGAATGGTAAATTTGGCTGCGAAAGCTTGGTTAACTTGGTTCTACATAATTTAGAAAAAATGACAATGTGAATCATAACTCCAGAACATGTGAAATGGAACTAAATCTGCCTAAACTGTAGTTTAAATATAGAACAAACTTTGAAATCAATAAGAAAAGCCACCTGGTATATATTAAAATTGTAGACAGTCCTAAACAGATTCAAGCCCATACATTTGAAGCTGAACCCAAGCAAAAAGCAGAGTTTCTGCTGCTTGACAATGGAAGGCATTTTGCAGAGTTTGCAGCCATAGTGCAGTGTCCTTTGGTTGAAGTTACACACCCATAACTGGTCAGTTCAGTTCATAGTTTAGGAGTGCTCCTGGATTCCTTGCTGATGCTAAGTGCTCATATAGCAGCATCCATGGATAATGCTCTTTGCCAACCACAGATGGTAAGGAGGCTCTGTCCCAGTCTTTGTCACTTCCTGGTTTGAACATACCCACTTCTACTTTAGCATGAAGCTCTCAGCCATCAGGACACTCCAATTACTGTAGAATGCAGAAGCACATATCCTCAGCAATCTGGGCTACAGTGAGCACAAGTTATCCTTTGCTCATTACACTGTCTTCCTATAGAATAGTGTGTTAAATTCAATATGTTGGTCCTTTTTTCCCCAAGGTGCTCAATGACTTGGGCCCAGGATATCTAAGAAATTGCCAAAAGAGTTGGGCTGATGTATGTGGTCAACAACATTGCTTCTCAAGCACTCAGCAGTTCACCACAAGGGTAAAGCTCACCTGTGCAGGAAATGGAGCTCTCATATAGGTTGGCCCAAGATTCTGGAACAAACTCCCATAGGAATGAAGAACCACCTCAACACTCACTCTCTTCCATTCCAAGTGCCAGATGTACTACTTTGACCTCATTTTCACTAATCTTCACTAATATAAACACATAGCACAGTATAATTTATTAAAAACAAACAAACAAAAACCTGCACATGCAATTTCCCCACTGGGTAGAGAATGAGAGCAAGGATGAGTTACACGTAACAGATGTTAGTCATGTTGCTTTATGAACTACTGGTGCTCAGATACTATAGGGATGAGATTAGTATAAGAACTGGACTGAAATAGGGTTTTTTTGAAGATGGGGAGTGCCAGTAGTTACAGGTACTGGACAAACTACTGAGCTAATGAAAGAGTGCATATGTTCAATGGCTATTAGCCAGGATGGGAAGGAATGGTGTCCCTAGCCTCTGTTTGCCAGAAGCTGGGAATGAGCGACAGGGGATGGATCACTTGATAACCTGTTCTGTTCTTTCCCTCTGTGGCACTTGGCACTGGTCACTGTTGGAAGACAGGATACTGGGCTAGATGGACCTCTGTAGGGCCATTCTGTAGGGCTAGATGGACCCAGTAGGGCCATTCTTATGTTAAGTTCTTATGATGATTTTTATTTCCAATATTTCCTATGGATAAAATGGCACTAAAAATGCATTTGTTTTCTTGTATTACTTTGTACTCATGTTTTAAGGAGTAGATGAAATGCATTACTTGTGTGGGGATGTCTAAGAATTCACTGGTATCAGAAAAGGATTTCCCTTTGAACAAAATTAATGTTACAAAAGAAGGTAGTTGAAAAATTCAAAGGTTGTGGGAAGAAGCATCCTGGAAAATTTCAACCATTAAAGCAACAAATTACAGAATCTCTCAGTTCTTAAATAAAATTATTAAAATATGTATGTGCGCACACACAACACACACATAAGTGAGATAGTTGCCTCCCTTCCCCAAAGAATTCCACCATTTCAGGAAGTAGAACCTCTCTTGTGATATGTTGTGTAATTATTTCATTTGAAGAAATTTCCACCTTTCAAACCGTACTGATTTGGTAGGGCAGGCTGAGAGTCACCTCCTGTAGAGATATACTATTTTGGGGAAGTGACAATATTAATCCAGCCATTACAGGGCTGCTCTAATTAAGAAACTCCCCTGTGTACTCTGTGGCTAAGTCCACCTGAGAAATTTGCATTAAAAAAAAAAAATCCCCTGAACCAGCATCCACCATAAAATGCTATAGTTATAATGTATTTCAATTTTAGACTTACAAAGCAGTAAGTGCTGTATTGTGATTTTGTTTTAGTGTTCATGAAGAAGTTACATTTTAAACAGTTTCTGTTACAATACCCAATTAAAACAGTCACACATTTAATGATCATGCAAAAAAGATAAACGTGAGTTCAGAGGACCACGGATTCCGCCAGTTTCATGCTGAAATTTTGACTGGGCAGGCAGATGAATGAGCAGGTTAACAGCTGAAAAATTTTTCAGAATCTTAAACAGCCAAATGAACTGCAATGAAGGCTTCTGAAAAACTGATTCGGGTTCTGTAGTTTCCACATCGGAGTGTTGTTCCTTTAAGATTTCTGAAAGCATGCGCCAAACCTCTTCCTTCCCATATTTTGGAATTAAAACGGATTAATTGTGATTAATTTTTTTAACCACGATTAATTTTTTTTAGTTAATCACGTGAGTTAACTGCAATTAATCGACAGCCCTATTTTTTATACAAGGCACAATTAGCCAGCAGAACCCTTTGGTACAAAATATTGAGCCTAAAAAAAGACCTGGGTATTTATGTGGATGACAAGAATATCTGAAGTTATAAGAAGAAATATTAAAGTTTTGGAAATTCACATATTTCAATGTTCAAGCCGATCTCTATCACAGGTTAGGAACACAAACTTTCCCTGAGGTTTATGCCATAACCATTTTCTGAAGAGCTTGTTGCACCTTCTTCTGAAATATCTGGTTCAGGCCACTGTAGGAGAGGGGACGGTAGTCGAGATGGACCTCTGATCTGATTCACTATGGCAATTCTTATGTTCTTATGAAATGCTTAAAAACATTGATCATTTATAGCTGGTTCTGAAAAATTAGTTTGGGTTCTACAAAACATATCCATGAGGTTCTTATGATTTTTGCTATTTCCCAGTCTTGTGACATTGTTACTAGAATTTTCCCCTGATAAACATACAGGCCTAAAAATGCAGTTTTGTCTTCTTCCATTTTCTAACATACATTTAGATGGTCTGGCTTTCAATAGGAGAACATATTTCTTCAAGTTAAGCAATTTTCTCTTAATTTTTGTTTAAAACTATTGTGTCAGTTACTGTAACAAGAACTAAGGGATACATATGGTACCTGATAAATGCTATTATCTGCATGTAGGCCTTGCATATACACTTTCTATTGCACTTAAGTCCCAGACATACCACAATTACAATTGCAATCTAAAAATTTAAAATGCACCAACCACAGAAATGTTGCAGCAGACAGAATATAGATTAAGTTTTATTTTCTGAAATGTTATTCATATACACTATGTTAAGTACAGGCCTTCCTTCAAAATTATCAGATTAATGGAACGGTTTAAGTTTTAATGTTATAACAAGGTTATAGATATGAAGGTGTCATCTGATTGTTGTCATGATCTTTTTCTTCACACTTCCAAATTGCCAGGTAGTTTCAAATAATGGTGTTTTTCGGTCCTATTTCTGCCCAAGTTGGGACAGCTAAATACAAAGAGGCAAAAGAAAAAAAATCACATTGCCAGCATTATTTTTTAGCCCAATAATTCAGTTTAAAGAGCAAACTTGTTTTTTTTTTTACAATATTTGGTTGCTGTTTACAAATGAAAGAATGCTAGTTAAGAGAAAAGTGTAAGGTATAAAAAGCATTGATTTATTTTGTCCTGATAATAAAATATGAACAGCTCTGGAATGTCTACTAAACAAAGCATCAGGGGGTAGCCGTGTTAATCTGTATCTACAAAAACAACAAGGAGTCTAGTGGCACCTTAAAGACTAACAGATTTATTTGGGCATAAGCTTTCGTGGGTAAAAACCTCACTTCTTCAGATGCATAGAGTGAAAGTTACAGATGCAGGCATTATATACTGACATGTCATCTGTAACTTTCACTCTATGCATCTGAAGAAGTGAGGTTT